TTACAAAAATACATTCTGACTGAATTTGATGCATGCCAAAGGATTTGAACATGCAGGTTCCATATTCAATGGTAGCACATACATAGTGGGATGAGTTGGTTTCAAATTACCAATTTCTGTAGAATGGTAACAATGATGCTTGCAAGCACAACTAATAACATAGAGAACATAAATAAGCCATTATGACAGAGGAACATAACACAATAAGGACACCAATTGGGTTCAATATCCACCAGCGATTCAGAGGTACTTGGAGGTTAGAGTTTTCCATTATCCACGACACCAGTGCTTATTTTCATAGCTTCACGTTTTTAATCACAGATTTTCCATGACTGCAAACAACTCAATGACTGAATGTAACCTCTATGGTGGAGGACCTGCCTAACCTTGCTACAAAATCACTGGGAACCTTCCACTGTCAGCCTCAGCCATTGATTGCTTGCTCGTTTATTCTCAGCACAAGATACCCATATAACTCTGGCACAGTTTTTTTATTTTAAATACATAGTTTCTAAATTAATAAATAAAATGCCTCTCTAAAAACAAAGTATCAAACATGACTCACTACCTCATAAAGACTGATCCTGTGACATTAAAATTCATATTGAAACTGGCAAATTAGGGCTAATCATCTGTGTTCCAGTGTCCTGTCTACACAGCCATGCATGCTTACAGCAGAATATAAATCCAAATGACATGTTGTAAGGAACTGAGTTGAAGCATTAGACAGTCAGCAGGTGCATTACCACTCACTCAAGCGTGTCAGCCAAATAAACGCTCACAAATAATCACGATATATTTGACTGCAGTTCATTCCTCAAAGCAACAATCAGTAATATCCCTGAGACATATGGAACACGTCTCTTAAGAGATGAATGCACACATCAACAGTTTCTCCAGTTTCATTTTCAGCCATTTCTGAAGATAAAGTTCAAGGCATAGAGTGCTAAACATAACAGCCTGCTGAGAGTAGGCGAAAAGTAGACTCTCTAGTATACAGAACCCTTTACAAAACATTCTGAAGAATGTTAGGCATGTTAAAAACACTGATGTTAGAAAACTCAAACAACACTCCTCGTGGAGTGAGAGTCTTGATTGAGCCCATACATGGAAATCCAAAGTGGGTTTTGCCAAGCAGTCATGCAGTAAGAGTCATGACCTCTCTCTTTCTCTCATTGTTATATTCTCTCTTTATATCTCTAAAACAAGCCTTTGTTCACTGTTCATTTTTGCCTGCCTCTTTCTTGCTTGTTAAGTTTGTTTAAAATGTAAAATCAGTCATTGGCAGCAGTCTCCAGCAGCCTTGTCAAACATCTCCTCTGATGAAGAGTGTGAGACGTGAACAACTGGTTTAACAGTGAAGATGGACCTCCTACAGAGATTGTTTTATACTATGCTAGTCTATGCTATACTATACTATACTACAACCTCTGGGCTATGCAAAAATATTGTGAGTACTAAAACTTTATCAATAATAGTCCAGTCTGAAATGTTATTTTGTTCACTACAGTTTTCATCTTTCCCTCAATCGGCAGATAATTATGAACTAGGCAACATGCAGACGGATGTCTTTGTTTGTTTCTGTTTTTACAGTTTTTCAACTGCGTACACACATTTTCAAAACATTGCCTCTTTTTTTCAAAGCTTCACACACAAATCCAAGAACTGCACACACAAAATGCACAATGCCTCACATCTCTTGCAAAATGAAGTGCTGCATTCAAAATATCACAAACACATCTCAAAAGCAAACATTTGCAAACACCTTTTCCGTAATATTACAGTGTTGTGTGTTGTGTTTTGCAAAAAGTGTTTTATGAATTGAAAACTGAGTCAAAAGCCGAGAATTAAAAAAACGCTAAGCATAATTGTCAAACAACTGAGCAACTTTGTAGATAAGAATTATTTTACACACATTTTCAAAACATTGTCTCTTTTTTCAAAGCTTCACACACAAATCCAAGAATTGCACACACAAAATGCACAATGCCTCACATCTCTTGCAAAATGAAGTGCTGCATTCAAAATATCACAAACACATCTCAAAAGCAAACATTTGCAAACACCTTTTCCGTAATATTACAGTGTTGTGTGTTGTGTTTTGCAAAAAGTGTTTTATGAATTGAAAACTGAGTCAAAAGCCGAGAATTAAAAAAACGCTAAGCATAATTGTCAAACAACTGAGCAACTTTGTAGATAAGAATTATTTAACTTGTGGACCGAACAAAGTCATTTATAAAGCAATTATTCTCAGTGATATATCCCTAGTGATATTGTCTATAAACGCTACAAGCAACATAGCAGAGTGAGTGTGTGTGTGTGTGTGTGCTGCAGTGGGAAAGGTTCACATCTCCCACGCCACTCCATATTGGGATATAAAAAAGGAAGTACATATTTTGGAAACTCACTCTCTGTGGTCGGGGTAGAGGGCTTCCTGCTCCGCTTATCAGCTGGTGTGGAGACACTGGGATCTGAACACAGACAGAAAGACAGAACACATAGAGTAACACGGAGAACAAAATAAGAACATCTCTTGCAAAATGAAGTGCTGCATTCAAAATATCACAAACACATCTCAAAAGCAAACATTTGCAAACACCTTTTCCGTAATATTAATTCCTGTTAGATTTTTGTGTGTTACACAGAGAATTGTGTGTTGTGTTTTGCAAAAAGTGTTTTATGAATTGAAAACTGAGTCAAAAGCCGAGAATTAAAAAAACGCTAAGCATAATTGTCAAACAACTGTGCAACTTTGTAGATAAGAATTATTTAACTTGTGGACCGAACAAAGTCATTTATAAAGCAATTATTCTCAGTGATATATCCCTAGTGATATTGTCTATAAACGCTACAAGCAACATAGCAGAGTGAGTGTGTGTGTGTGTGTGTGTGTGTGCTGCAGTGGGAAAGGTTCACATCTCCCACGCCACTCCATATTGGGATATAAAAAAGGAAGTACATATTTTGGAAACTCACTCTCTGTGGTCGGGGTAGAGGGCTTCCTGCTCCGCTTATCAGCTGGTGTGGAGACACTGGGATCTGAACACAGACAGACAGAATACAGAGAGTAACACAGAGAACAAAATTAGAATCAAGTTCATGTGTCCACCATTAAATCAGTGCATATGCATCCTCTTCAACTTCGACAAACCGAAAAAAAAAATTCCCAAACTGATTACATCAAGTAATTCTTTTGAGGGTCCATCGCCATTTTATTATTGTCGCTTTTTGCTAAGACCAAAACTAAGGCCAAAAAGTCAATTATAAAGGTTATAAAGTGGAATTTGCCAATTGAAATTGCAGACTCCAAATTAGGAGAAGCTGTATAAGCCGTTTATGCAAGTAACCTACAATGTTAAAGCAATTAAATAAAATCAGCATGCTGCCATTGATAATAATGATATCTCCAGGTCAAGGTGTCTTTGTTTTGTCACCGTTAAGCCAGGCAGATATGTCTAGAGACATCTGTAAAGACATGTCTTTTAAAATTAGAGATTGATAGATGACTGTAGGGACATGTATTATAAAGCAAGACATAGATATCTAGACAAAACTGTAGGGACATGTCCAGTGCGAAATCTGGACAGGAGATCTCTGAACAGATGTAAAGACAAGTCTTGGAAACCAGAAGAGAGAGAAAGAGATGGAAGAATCTAGAGACAAACACAGGGATAGACTAAGATCAGGTAATTGGCTGGACAAAAAGATCTGAAATGGATGGATAAACTGGACATATGTTACATGTAACATGTTGAACATCTCATGTTAAGCAGGACAGAGGTGACTGTAGACAAAGAGCTGAAGGGCCATGTCCTATAGTTGAGACAGACAGATCTAAAGATGATTGTTGGGACATGTCCCATATAGCAGAAAAAGAAAGTGAGATGACTGTCAGAATATGTTATCCTGGACAAATGGACCTAGAGACGGTTCTCTAAATCAAGCCTCTCTGTTGGGACATGTCTTGTTAAGTTGGATAAACAGATCCAAAGACAGCTCAACACATCCTCTAAATTGGAACAAAGAGACTCAAAACAGTTGTAAAGACGTGTCCTGAAAACCAGAACAGAGAGAAAGAGACAACTGTAGAGACACAGCCAACAAGAGAGACACAGAAATCTAGAGATGCTCATAGGGACATGGCCTGTTAAGATCAACAGAGATCCAGAGATGAGTGTCTGTTTAGTGGGACAAAGATATTTAGAGACATATATAAAGACATATTCTGCAAAGTGAAAAAGGGAGGAGATCTTAGGACATGCAAGGGACGTTATGCAGGCTGATCTGGTCAGTAATTACCGGAAGATGCAGAGCTCAGACAAGGACTCAGGGGAAATGGACAAACACACTGCCCAGCACAAAACAGACTGAAACCATAATACTCTCATAGACCCCAAGGTTTTGAATGCAAAATGTAAAATTGTTTGTGTAAAAAATGAAAATAACTACATTTTTGACACTTTTGACACATAGGGTTACAGTACACCTCATCTCTCTATAGAGTTTCATAGAGTGGATACAGGAAGAGCATGCTGTAAACTCATTTATTGTGCTGGTATGTAATGAGATACACTCACCATCCACTAGGACCATACAGGAACACTCTGTCTTGCCCTCGTTAGTCTCCACCCTGCAAACATACTGTCCTTCATCCTCAGGCAGAGCTTTATCAATGCTCAGAGAGCACTTACCACCTGCTCACACACACACATACACACACATTTAATTGTTATTCTTATACAGTTAAAGTAGTCCCTTCATCTAAGACAAAGTTAACCTGTTTTGAAAGTATCTGCTGCATGAGGTCAAAGACGTCTATGGGGCAAATTAAAGATGCTGTTGGTAGTTCCCAAAGCAGAATATCCCTTTAATATTGCGATAATCCATACATGCATATTTTTCAAGTACACATGTCAACTGCTCTTGGTCACAACACTGATATACTTGAGTCAGATGAAGTTTTTGTCAAACACACAGGGTTAGTAATGGTACAGGGGTCCAAAGCACATCCCTCAGTCTACACCTACAAACTACTTTTCTCTTCAGATATCTCAAACATCATTACTGATAGCCCTATCGCATGATGAAACACCTTGAATAAACACTCATCCAATTTCACTCCTGCCATTTTATTGTCATGTGACCACTGTTTAAAGACAATTATGTACAGTTAGTTCTGGTCTTCATGTCTGACTGGACAAGTGGCATTCAATGAGTGTTTGTTTTCAGTCAACCGCTATGTTTCTCCGCAGCAAAGTTAGTCCAGCGTTGGCTTCATTTGGAGCTATTTTAATTACCGATCAAAAGTGAACTGTTTGAAACGCCAGGTACTCAATATTAACTTCTTGTTTAGAGAGCTGTTGTATAAAATGAATATCAGACTGTGATTACCAATGGTCTGCTGATGTTGACCACATCCACATGTTGAATCACATACACAAGCATATAAACTATTCGAGCCCCTCTCTGTTGAAAAAATTAGCATATGCTGGTTAGGTACGTTTTGAAGTCCTAAGAAACTAGCTCCTGCTCAGGACCAGCTTAGGACCAGCTCAAACCAGCAGTCATGCTTCAAAACCTAACCAGCATATGCTGGATTTTTCAATGGGCTGATAAATGTCCCAATGCCAAACATCCACGATATATCCTCTTACTGTACTTAATATCAAATGTGAAATGCAACACTGACCCTCGTTAGCAATGACGATGAATTTGGATGGTTTGATGAGTTTTCCATCAAGCGTCCATGTCACTTTAGCTGGAGACTCAGAGGAAAGTTGGCACTCCAGATGCAAACGTTCCCCATCCAATACTGTCATGTCACTCAGTTTCTGCGTAAAAATGGGCTCTTTTGTTTTTTCTTTTATCCCTCCATCCACACAATTCACATCGTTTTCCTTTCCTCTGGCATCTTTATTGCCTTGGCTTTCTCCATTCCTGTCCTGGCTTGGTTGTTTTTTCTTGTTGCCTAACACGGATCTGAAGTCAACAGCTTCAGTTTTGTTGGCTTGTGCTTTCACTAAGGATCCAAGACTGGGTTTTGGGCCTTGGCTTCCCTTCTTTCCCAGCACTGCTCTGAAGTCCACCTGCTGTGGAGAGTTGACTTTGCGTTCCTCTTCTGTCTGGGTCTTGGGCTTGATCTGCCGTTGGAGGTTCCCCCTGAAGTCCATCTGCTCGGCCGTGATCTCCTTCAGGTCTTCCTCAGAGACGCTCTTAGTGGTGACCTTGCGGCCGAGCACGGTTCTGAAGTCGATCTGTTCGGCCTCCTGCTGACGGATCTGGTCTTCCCGATGCTCCTTTGTCTCCACGCACCGTTTGAGAAGCCCACGGGTGGCACAGCCCTCCTCTTCTTCCTGATCCTGACTGTCGTGTTCCCAGAGTTGCTCGGAGTGCGACGCTGCAGCACTGGGAGTCTCCAGCTGTCCTCCCCTGCCTGCCGCAGTCCTCTCCACCCCTCGGCTGCCACAGGAAGAGTGGAGAAAAAACACAGAGATGGTCAAAGCCCTGGCTAGCTCAGCCCACACTGGAGAGCAGCTTAATCGAGGGGGAGAGTTAGTTCAACACCACAGAGTTGCATCAGAGATGACTTCAGAGACCTTATAGGGAAATGAGACCCGAGTGAGGCCCCTAGACGATCCCACACAACAGCACAGCTGAGAGAGGAAGCATAAACAGAGCGTTTGGTTATAAAGAGAGATTATGTAGATTAAGTGCAGGGCTTGAGGGCTGTAAATATAGCTTTGGAGCAGAGGAGAGAGAGCAAGAGTAGAAGGAGAATGTACCGTTTATGAGAATCGTCACCAGATGGCATGGGGTCCTCGCTGACCTGCAGAGCTGCCACTGACCTGCACTCTCCTACTTTATTCCTGAGATCAACAGAAGATTTTTCACAGATAATGTTAATTTATTGTAAACTGTTGAATTGTAAAGTAAATGAGGAACTAAGAAAACACAACCTTTACTGATATGACAACACTGTTTCCAAGCATAATTTCATTGCATGTGAACTTAAAAGCATGGATCTCATGAATTTTATCCAAAAAATATATATATATTTTGCATAAATAACACAGCTAGTTTTTTTTCTCTCTATGTGTAATGTGCATTTCTCATTGTAAATGATTTTTATCTAATTCTCATTTCTTACAGTATCTTTACCGATGCAATGTCTTATTATTAAAATCTGAATAAATTTAAAACATTTCAACAAATACTAACATGATGTAGCAATACTTCGTAATTGAAATAATTGTATTTAAATTAATTAATTTTTCAATTTTTATTGTTATACTATATCATTATTTTTGCATGGTCATTAAATTTGAAGAAGAAAAGAAGTGGTCATAAAAATAATGTCACAATGTAAAACATATAAGAATATAAACAAACAAACAAATAAATAAACAAATAACGTTTTTATTTGGGGTAGAGTTTATTTGATACTGTTTGATTTTGGGGCTAAATGTGAACCATTTCACATCTTTACATAGAATCAACTAAATAAAATCTTAAAGAATAATTTTAAAAACCTTTTTAAACTTTATTATTTTAAAGTAAAATAAACCATGTCACTTTTGAGTACAAATAACTATGTGTTACAGTTTTTTTTCAAAGCTTCACACACAAATACAAGAATTGCACACACAAAATGCAAAATGCCTCACGTCTCTTTCAAAATGAAGCACTGCATTCAAAATATTACAAACACATCTCAAAAGCAAACATTTGCAAACACCTAATTCCTGTTAGATTTTTGTGTGTTACACAGAGAACTGTGTGTGTTGCGTTTTGCAGAAAGTGTTTTATGAAATTGAAAACTGAGTCAAAGGCTCAGAATTAGTGTATGGTTTTGCAGATTTGGTTTGTGCTTCTGGTGTTTGAGTGTCAGCTTTCAGAAATTGTGTGACAAGTAAAGATTTAGTGTGTAAGCAGTTGAAAAAACTGTAAGATCTCAAAGTGAGTCAACATTTCCAAACAACAAATATCTAACTATACATATAATAAATTTAAACTACATGAGCAATAGCTTAGATGTTTGTTTTTAAACAATTCTTACTTGAGATGAATCTCATAGTTTCCAGCATGATGTGTCTTCACTTTCCTGATGAGCAATGAGACAACGTCTTCCTTCTGTAGGATCTCAAAGTCCCCACCTCCAGATATGACCTGCCCATCCTTCATCCAGAGGAATTCTGGGAAGGGGTCACCAGCGATCGCACAGGACAGCAGAGCGTGTTGACCCAGGGAGGCGGCAGTGGACTTGGTTTTAGTGATGAACCAGGGCTGAACTCCATCTTGAGGCTCTGTGAGCAACAAACAAAAATCCACTGGAGATATCCATATTCAGCGATTATATCATCATATTTGTTATAAGATCACATTAGTATCTAGTTGAAAATCATACCTCCTTTGGTAATGTATTCACTTAAGCAATGTTTCAGTGTGATTTGTACCTTGTACCGTGAGTGAGGCTTCGGTGCGAGCGACTCCGGCTTCATTGCACACCTCACAGGTGTATGTCCCTGTGTCCTCAGGAAACACTTCCTGTATGAAGAGAGTATACCGACAGCCCTTCCTCTCAAAATGAAAATCCTCAGACTCTTGGATCTCTTTTCCATTATGCAGCCAGACCACCTCAGGGGCAGGATTTCCTACATACAACACACATCACACTTGCAATGATTAAAGGGATAGTTCACCCAAAAATGAAAATGTGATGTTTATCTGCTAACCCCCAGGGCATCCAAGATGTAGGTGACTTTCTTTCTTCAGTAGAACACAAACAAAGATTTTTAACTCAAACCGTTGCAGTCTGTCAGTCATATAGTGGCAGTCAATGGGCTCCATGGGTTCGAGAGTAAAAAAAAACATACACAAACAAAACCAACCATTCACGCGTCACGCGCCGGATGTTGTGAACTCGCTCAGACATTGCGGTGGATCAAAGGTAAAAATGTATATAAATACTGTTCAGTTTCTTGCACAGACCGATCGCTTTGTGTCTTTACACATCAATGTATCGTCACGAGCCATCACAGTGTCAGTGAACACATACACAATCTCTGCACTGTGTAAATAATGAGTGACGTATACGCGTGACAGATCGCTTCCACACATGCGTCACTACTATCATAGATATGTATAGATGCCCTATTCGACTGCTCCAGATACGTTGACTTCCATTATATGACTGACAGACTGCAACGGTTTGAGTTAAAAATCTTCGTTTGTGTTCTACTGAAGAAACAAAATCACCTACACCCAGCCCTGGGGGTAAGCAGATAAACATCAAATTTTCATTTTTGGGTGAACTATCCCTTTAAGCATATTAGGGTTAGAGACAATGAATGGAGGACAGTGGGACAAAATAAAGAATAATCAATAGCACTGAATTGATTTTATTGAAATGATTTACAAGCCACAGTGCTGACACTTAAAGCATTGGGTTAAGTTACATTAATAGTGAGGAAAAAAACCCCTGCTTTCATTTTTCATACGACTTCAGAAAGTTCATATGCTGCTGAGGTCACATGTTCATGCAAATACACAGTCAGGAGACCCCTCAGCATTACACAGGAAGTGCTCTCAATTATATAATCACCACAGTTAGATCCTCTGCACAAACACGCACAAGCACATAGACACTAGACGCTACACACAAATGTAGAGTTAAATGATGCCTCTTAAGGGAGTACAAAGGAAATTCCATTCATTACAGCTAAACACAGCAAAAGACACGATCTATCGAGATAGATTTTGGAATTTTTTCCCACAATTTTTTACAATAATGTATAGTACAGATTTTACTGTAAACCTGCATTGGTATATGATATGCATTAATTAATTGCTCAGGGCAACAGTGGCAAAAAAACCTTACAATCTCATACAGATAAATAAATAAATATTTTAAACAACAACTATACAGTATGTATATATATTAGGGGTGGAACGATACATGTATTCGCACCGAACCGTCACGGTACGGACATCTTGTTTCTGTGCATGAGGCATTACAACGAATACAGGCAATTCACCCCAAACCAGAAGGGGGTGCCTGCAGCAATGCAAAGCTGTTTGTTAACCAGCCGCCAGCAGAAGAACAGTGAATGCCATGAGTTGCTTGAAAACAAAGCCCACTAGACAATGACCATGTGCTGATTCTGAATGCGTCTCTCACAGACTGACAAAGGAGTATACTTTGAAAGCTTGTGTACTCAACTGTTTGCGAAACGGAGCTTTGTGCTCGTGTATCCTACGTCTCTCATTCGCCTGCAGCAATGCAAAGCTGTTTGTTAACCAGCCGCCAGCAGAAGAACAGTGAATGCCATGAGTGGCTCACTTGAAAACAAAGCCCACTAGACAATGACCATGTGCTGATTCTGAATGAAACGGAGCTTTGTGCTCGTGTATCCTACGTCTCTCATTCGGCACAAATCCAAATATTTCATAATATTTCCATATTTGCGATGTAACGTATCTGAATGCTAAACTATTATTTATAATGTAAATTATTGCGTTGTAACGTATCTGAATGCTAAACTATTATTTATAATGTAAATGATAGGCTTTGTACTTCAGTCGCGTTCCAACGTTGACACAGAGGCGGGCGCGCTGATGTTTGTTTCACTCTATTTTATTTTGATAAAGTACCAACTGCGCTGTCAAGTTAGCAATGCTGGAACTGATGTGTGTGTGTGTGTGTGAGCGTGAGCGCTGGTGCGATCACTTCAATTGTTTCCTTATAAACTATTATTTATAATGTAAATTATAGGCTTTGTACTTCAGTCGCGTTCCAACGTTGACACAGAGGCGGGCGCGCTGATGTTTGGTTCACTCTATTTTATTTTGATAAAGTACCAACTGCGCTGTCAAGTTAGCAATGCTGGAACTGATGTGTGTGTGTGTGTGTGTGTGAGCGTGAGCGCTGGTGCGATCACTTCAATTGTTTCCTTATACCAACAGAATCAACTTTAAACACTTATTGTCTTATTAATAATGCATCACTGTATAAAGGTCTGCTTTGTGTACACTCGCAATGAAAACAAATCATTGTGCTTTTGTAAAATAAAGAAAACAAATAGGATGTTGCTTTCTGCCATTTGAGTTTCTTTTCTGTGAACAAATTAAGCCTGTCACAAAAATGAACTGAAACTCAGCGTATATAGGCTACGTTACGTGTCGTACAGTTTTTTTTCTCTTGTTTATCTGTAAACTAAATCAAATATAGTTCAAGAATGTATTCCTTGTATGTATATATGTACTGCAGATTATATAAATATATAACAATGTAATAATATTTAGTATTTTCACATCTAGGTGGAAAACGTCTCAGGTTACGTATGTAACCCTAGTTCCTCGAGGGAACGAGACGCTGCGTCGGAAACGCTAGGGGAACGCCCTTCAGCGTGACGGGCTCTGAACCTCGTGTGTAATCAGACCAATAGATGGGCGAGACGTCACGGCGGGTGACGTAATGACCAGGAAGCTATAAAAACACGTGCGGTGAGACCAGCATCAGCTTCTAGGAATGAAGCAAGCACTGGCAGGGACGCCAGAAGTATGGCACCGCGACGCAGCGTCTCGTTCCCTCGGGGAACTAGGGTTACATACGTAACCTGAGACGTTCCTCTTCAGGAACTCGAGCTGCGTCGGAAACGCTAGGGGAACGCGACTGCCCACGCCGCCAGACTTCTAAGTCTCTGCCTAGTGTGGAAGACTGCACAGCTAGGGCGAGAGAACAGAAGAGCCAGGATTGGCTCGC